AGGGGTACAGTTTCAGCCTCGGCACTGGTTTTGTCTCGTGGAGGTCCACTCGCTCTTCTTCTGTACTTAGTTCCAGCTGTGAGGCCGAGATCTACGCTGGGGCTATGGCTGCACAGGAGCTCCGCTGGATGACCTACCTGCTGACCGACTTGGGTGAGTGGCCTCGTTCTCCTCCAGTTCTGTACGTCGACAACAAGGCCATGATTGCCTTGTGTTAGGACCAGAGACTGGAGCACAGAACGAAGCACATTGCTCTCCGTTACTTCCTCACGCGAGAGCTGCAGCAGCGTGGTCAGCTTCGTCTTTCTTACGTGGCCACACGGGCCAAAACTGCTGATGTCTTCACCAAGGCCCTTGGATCTAGTGATCATCAGCGTTTCTGCACTGCACCGCCGGACACGGGAGAACTGTGGAGGAACGTGCACGAACCGGTCCCCCAGAGGGGTCAGCCAGAGAGACTGCAACCGGTGCTGCGAGTGGTGTGACAGTGGTGCTGTCACGAAAGAAGCAGCGGGAAGCACCTGAGTCAAGCGTGAAGGTGTGCAAGGCCTCAGCAGGCGCAGTACCAGAGAGAGCAGACTCACCAACACCTAGAGAAGACTTACCAGCACCTAGAGAAGAATCACCAGCACATAGAGCAGACTCACCAGCACCTAAAGCAGACTCACCAGCACCTAAAGCAGCAGCCGCTATACCAGGGTCGGGCGGCACGCACAGGTAACAGTCACCCTGAGTACTAATATTCAATGCATACATGGCAGTAAGGATAGCGTCATAGTTTAGCGCAAAGAAATCCACGGCCTGCCTAAGCAGCTCTAGCCAGCGGGGGAGCTCAGCCGCGTCGCCAAACTCAGCACGCCAGGTGTTGCTCAGACAGGAAAAGCAGCGGGACTGTGTGTGGCCAGGTATCCCGCATGTCTGACCAGGCTGATCACCTGTGCGAATGACGTACAGGCAGCGAGCACTACTCCTAGACCCCCCACACTGAGCGTACCACTCACGAAGCTACTGGGGCGTAAGGGTCTCGCGCGGACGCGGCTGCAGCTGCACCAGGCCACCGTCAGAACCTCTCAACTGACTAGCTGCACCGCGACTGCCACTACTGCCGCCGCAACGACACCTACGAGCGTACCACTCACGAAGCTGCTGGGGCGTAAGGGTCTTGCTCGGACGTCGCTGCAGCTGCATCTGGCCACCGCCAGAAACTCCCCACCGAACAGCTCCAAAGCGATTGCTACTGAGGCCGCCACCACTCCCACTGCTGCCGCCACCGCTGCCACCACTCCCACCGCTGCCGTGAAGAGAAGTCATGCGACCAGCAGGGCAGCACGTAGGGAAGGAAGGGCGGCGAGGAGGCACAAGGGTAGGTCGGGGCGGTGCACGGTCAGGGAAGGGCGGCGCGCGGCCAGAGCAGGGTGGGGCGCGGTCAGAGCAGGGCTGCGTGCGGCTAGAGCAGGGCGGCACACGGCCAGAGCAGGGCGGCGCGCGGCCAGAGCAGGGCAGTAGCAGGCAGCAGCAGGCAGTAGCTTCTAAGGCAGCAGCACCTAGGGCTCTTTTTTTTTGTTTTTATTTTTGTTAGGGTTTAGCAGGGCACGCTGGACGCTGCAGAGGCGGGTCGCGGGCTGCAGGGGCAGCGCGCGGGCTGCAGGGGTGGCTCGCGGGCTGCAGGGGCAGTGCGCGGGCTGCAAGAGGCAGGCGCGCTGGTTGCAGGGGCGGTTCGCGGGCTGCAGGGGAGGCTCGCGGGCTGCAGACGGGCGGCGCGCGGGCTGCAAGGGTCTGCGCGCGGGCGGCGTGCACGGGGCGGCGCGACGCGGGGCGGGCAGGGGCGGCGCGCAGGCAGGCAGGGCGGACGGGCGTCGCGGCGGGCTGGGGCAGCCCGCTCTGGCGACGCGACGGGCACGGGCAGGGCCGACGGGCGACGCGACGGGCTGCAGGGGCGCACGGCGCGACGGGCAGCAGGGGCGTGCGACGCGACGTGCGGGGCAGCAGAGTGCGACGCGCGGGCTGCAGTAGGACGCGGGGCAGAGCAGGGCGTGCGCGGGGCAGCGCGACGCGGGGCAGGGCAGGGCGTGCGCGGGGCAGCGCGACGCGGGGCAGGGCAAGGCGTGCGCGGGGCAGAGCAGGGCGTGCGCGGGGCAGCGTGACGCAAGGCAGGGCAGGGCGTGCGCGGGGCAGCGCGACGCGAGGCAGGGCAGGGCGTGTGCGGGGCAGCGCGACGCAGGGCAGGGCAAAGCGTGCGCGGGGCAGCGCGACGCAAGGCAGGGCAGGGCAGAGCTCGCGCTGACGGCGCAGCGCAGGGCAGGGCGTGGGGTAACGCGGTAACCGCAGTCGGTCACTAGGTAATGGTGGGCCCGGAAAAAAAAAAAAAAAAAAAAAAAAAAACGGTCCTACGGACCTACTGCTCTGAAACCATGTCAGAAACTAACGAGCAGGAATGTGTGCATTAATCAGAAATGTGGTACAAGTACTAACCCTAGTTGGGTTGTACCCCATATAGGCTACCCCACTACAGCCTAGACAACATAAGCAGCATTATAGTTTGACAGTGCCCACTCTGCCTCACTTGCATGTCTCTTGATCTTGCTCCGTACTTTGATATATAAACCTGCATGTTTCTGGTTGCGAGATTGTAATCATTGTCCTGCTTGCTGTATTATAAAACTGCATGTGAACTGGCCTTGTGGCCGCTTGCTTGTGCGCGGAATGTGTGGTGTCCTTGAGATCCACCTTGAGCTTTGTTCTTTGTTTCTTCTCTTGACTGGTCTTGTGACCGTTTGTTGTCCCCCACTTAGCCTATGGGGGTACTCATTAGGGGGTACAACCCATTAGGGTTTCCTACTTGTATGTTTGTACCCCTCCATTCTACTCATTCCTCTTTCCTTATTCTAACATGTTGGAGACACCGTAATCTCGGGTGTTTTGCAGGAAGGATGGGGAATGTGCATTCAGTGTGCACATTCGATAAAAGGCTGATATATCAGTAACTATAAAATAAAGACTGAAAAATCAGTGTAGGTACAAAAAAGTATGTTGAAAATCAGGAATTTCAGGGAAATAATAACCCTGATATCTGTGGGCCTGCCTGACACGCGACTGGTGGTATCATTAGTTGGTTTGCAGGCTGCACTAGCAGTCTGATGTAGTGGTACCTAATATGGTAACTTCCTGAAGCAAACCATAACGAAGGGGACATGGAAGATGAAGCGGCAAGTGGTCGCGGCGGTGATCCTGCACAGCTCAGGATCAAATATGGAAGGTGAACCAGCGTCTTCTGGGCAGCAGCAGTTCAGTTCAGTGCTCCAACCACACCCCGCTTGAATGCAGCAACTTCCAGCTTTGTCATGAAGAGGTATGAACGAGCGAGGCGGCGAGTATTGATGCGATTACTGCCACTGCTCTATGTCCTCCATCGCTCAGCAGAAGCGGTTGCTATAATCCGTTGCACTCTTTCCCGTGAGGTAAATGTCTGAGAAGCAACTGCCATGGGTAGGGAGACGCGCTCTTGGCGCCTCGCAGCTTCACTGCTCTCCAAAGACTTGGCCTCCTTGGTCCAATTTCAAGCCACGCTCTCGATTTCGCTGCCTTCTGCCCACCGCTCTCCTCCGCCGTGACCCTAAAGCGTCTCTAGGTTGCTCCCCAGCGTATTCGTAGCCTTTTCAACAGACGCATTCGCATTATTTAACTACTGTACATACCTCGCTAGACCGCGGTCCGTGACATCCCCAAATTCGTTACTTTTGCCCAATCCAAGCCCGCGCGAGTATCCTGAACGAGGCTGCCAGCTGCCAGCGTTCCGGTTGTCATCAATATCCTAGTCTAGACCCCAACCCCTCAGCTCCCCAGGCTCCCCGTCTATGTCGTGTCGCGCATATCTCATACAAGTTTTCTTGACGATATTTTTGCCCGACCTTTCTTTAAGGATTGCCAGGTCCAACGTAGCCTTGTAGCTACTTGTTCCCCGAAGTAGCAATCTCCGATATCCGCCTTCCATGCGAGAACGGACCAGCTAGTTTACCAGCCGTAATAGCGTCCACGAGAGAGAAGAGAAGCACCTAAGGATCGGGAACTCTTTGTTCAACATACCACTTCACGACTCCCTAGCTTCAGAGGGATAGAGGGAGCTCGTGTAGGCCACACGCACACGGACATCAATCCGAATTGTGTGCTCTCTTCAGAAGCTTGAGACAGCTTACTCCTCGCACGCACGTCATTATCGAGCCTGTGCTAGCTCGAGCGCACAAACGAGCTTTGTGCCACGAGCGAAGCTTTCAACACAGCGAGATTGAAGTTTTTTCAGGAGTTGTGAAAGGCTCCTCGCTCCTGCTGACCAGCCAATGCTTTCCATGGGTCTTGCAACTTCTCTTCAAATGCCTGCTATCCGCGCCTCACGGCGCCTCAAAACAAGCCTAATTCCAACTGTGCTGGTTACCACTGTTGTGGTGCTTGCTGCGTTTCACGGTCAAGCGAACGCCGCAAAAACTAGCAACAGGAGCAGCAGCAGCAACAGCAGCAGCAGTGGAGAGGGAGGGGGTGGGGGGGTGGTGTGGGAGTTGGAGGAAGGGCGAGTCGTGAATCCTGGTTTCACAAAGTCCAGGACGACAGATAACCCCGAGTGGCTCGCCAACCTGCAAGGTGAGCTATCGAATCCACCCCAAAGTCCTCTTCAAAGTACATCCATTCTCTGCTGACTTTTGAGGCGCCTCAAAAGTCGTTTTGAGGCGCCTCAGAAGTTGGCTCGCCAAGCTGCAAGGTGAGCCACCGAATTCACTCCAAAGCCCTCCTCTCGTCCTGAACCTCTCCTGATGTAATCTAGAATTTCCGACTGCTCTTCTCTCTCCCCGGTCGTTTTCCTGTCCCCTCTCTCCTGCCTCCCGCCTATCTGCTACCCTCTCCAGTTTCCCCCTCCCCTCACTTTTATCCCCTCCTCTGTCTTCTCTCTCCTCTCCGCTCGCTCGTTCCCCTCCCCTCCTCGCTCACCTCATTCGAATTAAATCCTGCAGCCGGATTGTTCATCAACTGCGGAGGCCCCAACGTGACAACCCTCTGGTTCGCCGACAGCACAGCCATCACTTGGGCCTCCGATGCCCCTCTCATGACCCTCGGCGCGCCCTTCACTATCACTCCTGCTGCTGCTGCTGGCAACCGGAGCAACAGCAGCAACAGCAGCAGCAGCTCAGCGCCCTTGATGGGCATACGGCCGTTGGCAGGAGTGCAGCGGAACGGGAGTAGTGCAGGGAATGGTACCAGCGGAAGGAGCAACGGCTCGATTGTTGACATTATTATCAGCACTTTCAACAGCACTGCCACCAACGGCACTGCCACCAACGGCACTGCAACCAACGGCACTGCAACCAACAGCCCCACAAGCAACAGCACCACAAGCACCAGCTCTCCACCCACCGCTGCTCCATCCCGCACACCTTCCAGCATACCTCTACCCTCCCCCAAGAACAACACCACCACGACACCTTCAGACACCATCCCAATCACCCCTCCCTCAACCCAAGCCAAAACCCTCCTCACCTTCTCCGACCCCTCTCTAGCCCTCATGGCGCCCGTATTCGAATCCGCCAGGGCGTTCAACGCGCGGGACGGCCTCACTCTCTGGTACTCCCTACCTGTGCCCGAACCTGCTTACTACGTGGTGCGCCTGTACTTTGCAGAGCTGGTGAACCGAGTGCCAGGAGCAAGGCGGTTCAATGTGAGCGTGGAGGGAACCGAGGTGCTGCCTGCGTTTGCCATCGGGCAACGCTTCCCTACTGTGGACCGCACCCGCGCAGCTGCTGCTGGGGCTGCTGGTGGTGGTGGTGGTTTCGGACGGGGTTTCGGTGGTATCAGTGCTGCCGAGGTTGTTTCGACGGTCACGAACAGTGACCTTGTTAGCATAGCCGGCAGCAGCAGTCCTGTTGCCGGAAGTGGCAGCAACACCAGCGCCAATACCGGCGCCAACATCAGCACCAGGCTTACCAACAAGCGCAGGAACAATAGGAGCATCAGCAGCAGCGCCAACAGCAGCGCCAACAGCACCAACAGCACCAACAGCACCAACAGCACCAACAGCAGCGCCAACAGCACCAGCAGCAGCGCCAACAGCACCAGCAGCAGCAGCAGCACCAACAGCACCAGCAGCAGCAGCAGCGGCGGGGCTGTGGAGGGCGATGTGGTGAGGGGGCATGTGGTGGAGGTGTATGTGCCGGTGACAGACGGCTCTGTGGACGTGTTCTTCACATCGGGGGACATCGGTGACCCCATCATCTCCGCCATCTCTGTAAGTGCCAAGATGCTTGCCGCTGCTGCTGCTGCTGCTGCAGCTGGTGCAGCTGCTGCTGGTGCTGCAGCTGGTGCAGCTGCTGCTGGTGCTGCAGCTGGTGCAGCTGCTGCTGGTGCTGCAGCTGGTGCAGCTGCTGCTGCTGGAGGTGTATGTGCCGGTGACAGATGGTTCTATAGACGCGTATTTCACCTCGGGGGACATCGGCGACCCCATCATCTCTGCCATCTCTGTAAGTGCCAAGATGCTTGCTGCTGCTGCTGCTGCTGCTGCTGTGATGGTGCTGTTGGCGGTGATGATGGTGCTGGTGGTGTTGGCGCTGGTGGTAAGGATGGGGATGGGAGACAGGGATGGTCATGAAAATAGGTCCTTGTTCTTGCGTACGCCTTTCCATGCTGCTGCGCTCTCATTCTCCCTTTCACCTCTCCATCCCCTTCCTTCTTTCTCCTACTCTCAACTCTCATTTCGCAAACCCTCTCTCTTTCACTGCGTCTCTCCCCCAGGTGCTCGAGTGCCCAAAAGGAATGTACAACCTCTCAGCACCGAACAGCACCACTGTGCTTGGTACGCATACCAGTGCTACACGCCTCGCAAATGCTACGCTCTCACTCTCTCCTGCTGGCCAGGCCAATCCAACCATGGCACTCTTCAGCTGCGCTCTACTCTTGGCTCCATCCTGCTGTGATGTACTGTATGCTTGTGTTGTGTTTGTTTGGTAGGTCTAGGCTCACACACGCACAGAGGGCGACCACATGCTTTTAAAAAGCCACACACTGATAGTTGGGGAGCACATAAAGGAAAAAGGAGCACTCTTGTTGGCTAGCTGCGACCTAACCAGCTTCCAGCAGGCGCCTCTCCCCTCCTTCCCTTTCCTTTCAACCGCCCCCCTCACTCTGACCTCCCCCACACCACACGCCACACCATCCAGCCTTGCTCTACCACATTGGGGCGGGATCTCCACCCAACCCTGTGATGTATAATTGTGCTTGGTTGATCAATTTAGACCCCCTTGCTTGGTTCTTGCCCCCCTTGTCGCCATCCAGCCTCGCTCTACCACATCGGGGCGGGACTGCCGCCCAACTCGTTCTTCCTGGACGCCATTGGCCGCTCGTGGTTGCCTGACACGCCGTACCTTGCCGCCCCTTCGCCGGCCAACACAATTATCGTGGACAACACTCCTGGGGTGAGTGGGAAACGCCACGAGCTGGCTCTTGAGCCACCTGAAAAGATGTCACGAGCTGGCTGTAACGAGGTGACTATTGAGTCGACTCAAAAGATGTCACGAGCCTTGCACCAAGCCTCCTCACGCCTGTTAATCCTCCTCGCTCCGCTTATTCCTCCGTGCTCCTCTGAATCCTACTCACTCCCCATGATCCTTCTTTCCCCAACTTCATGTAACACCGAGTAACAAGCTTCTTTAATAATTCCGATCCTCATCAGTCGTTCGTTCGGGCTCACTTACACCCATTCATCGTCCTCCCTGTTTCCTCGAGTCATCGTCTTTCGACTTCCTTTCTTTCATTCCTTCTGTTTTCGCTTTCCTTTTGTCAACCGCCTACTCCCTTCAGCACCAATCCACCTAATGCTTTACCCATGCCTTCCTCATTTTCTATCATTCTCTCGCCTCCGTCTTTCGCCCATTTGACTATCTCTCACTCCCCTGCTCCCTCTGTTCACCAGTCGTCGGCCTCCAACACTCACCCACCATGTCTCCTTTCCCCTCACTCGCCTTATCTCTGCCCCAGTCTCCTTCTCTCAATCACTCCCTGTTTCACTCACTCTAGCTCCCTGCCTTCACTCTAGCTCCCTGCCTTCACTCTAGCTCCCTGCCTTCACTCTAGCTCCCTGCCTTCACTCACTCCCCCTCTCCCCCTCTCTCCCCCGCCCACAGGGCTACAACTCACTTATCTCAGTGGAGAATGCAGACAACCCCAACATGCAGTGACTTTTGAGTCGACTCAAAAGTCGTCTCCCCCTCTCTCTCCCTCTCTCTCCCCGTCTCCCCCTCTCTCTCCCTCTCTCTCCCTCTCTCTCCCCCTCCCCCCCTCTCTCCCCCGTCCACAGGGTTACACCTCAGTTTTCTCAGTGGAGAACGCAGACAACCCCAACATGCCGCCAGATGCCGTGTTCACTGTCAGTACTCCCTCCCCTCCCTCCATGCGTATGCTTCATGCATGCATGCTTGCATCTAAGCCTTGCGGCTCATCTCTCATGCACTCGCTCCTGCATTCCACTGTGCTTGCCTCGCTCACGAATCTCCTCGCCTCACCAATCTGCTCTGACGTTCGTCCCACTTTTCGTTTGCCTGCCAGATTGGGAAAACAAACAGATGGGCGTGTGTGCCCTCAGCAAGCCATAGCACCAATCTCATCCACCCGTTGTTTCTGCGTTGCATCTCGTGCATCACATCACGCCTCTGATGACTCTGCAGACTTGGCGAACGACTGTGAACGCATTTGAGAATGCTCAAAGGCATCTCGTGCGTCACGCCTCTCGTGACAGGCTCATTATGAGACTTCTCGGAATGAACCCGTTGTTTCTGTGTTGCATGTCGTGCATGACGCCTCCGACAACCCTGCAGAAATGGCGCACAACTGTGAACGGGCACGAGACGGAGCCCTTGGCCAGGTTCAAGGCGCACACGCTGCAGTACGTCTTCCCCGTGCCGCCCTCCACGCCCCTCGCTGTCTTCCTCGGCTTCCAAGACGGGCTCTTTGACTTCCAGGTGAGATGGGCTGCTTTAATTCATGCCACACCATGCCATTGCCATGCCACACCACGCCATGCCATGCCTCCATGCCACACCATGCCACACTATGCCATGCCATGCCACACCATGCCACGCCATGCCACACCATGCCACACCATGCCACACCATGCCACGCCATGCCACGCTATGCCATGCCATGCCAACCCATGCCACGCCGTTCCACACCATGCATACTGTCCCATGCCGTGGCCTTCCATCCTCTACGCCCACCTTGCACCTGCTCGTGCTGACTGCCCTGCACTGTTTGACATTGTTGCTTTACCGTGGTGTGTTCTCACGTGCTGCTACATATGCTGCTATCGCATGTGCTATGGCACGTGCTATGACACGTGCTATGACACGTGCTATGACACGTGCTATGACACGTGCTGTGACACGTGCTATGACACGTGCTATGACACGTGCTATGACACGTGCTGTGACATATGCCATGGAATGTGCGGCATGGCACGGGACCACATGGAATGGCATGACATGGCATGGTATGGTATGGTATGGTATGGTATTGCATGGTGTGGCATCACATATGGCACATCAGGGAGCGCGCTTTCTGCAAGTGTTTGTGGACGGCCAACTGGCTTTGAAGCCCTTTGATGCCTTCGCTCCGCTCGCCACCTATTTGGCCAAGGAGCTTTACGGTGAGCTCTTATGTCTCCCCTCCCCCCTCCCCATTCTATTCTGAAAATGTCTCAGAATCGGCCTCCAGCTATATGGTCAAGGAGGTGTATTTTGACTTGATGTATCTCCGCCCCCTCGACCGCCCTTCTCCCGCATCTTACGCTCCTCCCTACCCTATCTCCACTTTAAGTTTACTAAAAAAACACGCCTATCCCTGTCACGCCTCAGCCGCCACCTCTCCTTAATCGATCAGCTTCCTTCAACTGCCTTTCCATCTGCCACTGCCCTTAACCCCTTCCCCCCCCCACCCACCTCTGCCAGTCACCAGCAACACCTCTGGCTTCCTCACTATCGAGATTGCCAATGCCAATTACACCGGCTTCACATGGTATGTATTATGTATGCTGCCCGCGCCTTACTGCAATGGTTCCGGCTTCCCCACTGGAGATTGCCAATGCCAACTACACCGGCTTCACATGGTATGTACTATGTATGTATGCTGCCTGCCCGCGCCTTACTTCCTCGCCTCCCGCCCCTCTGGCCCCCCACCCACCTCTGCCAGTCACCAGCAACGCCTCTGGATTCATCACTATCAAGATTGCCAACGCCAATGGCAAAGTACTCCTTCCCACCTTCCCCTTCTCCCCCGTCTTCCCCCCCCCCACCGCTTTCTCTCTAACAGGGACGCGTTTGTGAATTCAGTGGAGTTGTTTCACGTGCTGCAGTGGGAGGAGGGGCGGGAGGCAGCATTCAAGACCACGCTGCAGGCGGCACAGCAGCAGGCAGATCCAACTGTCGTCGTGCAGTCCGTCTGGCGGGTACGATGATTTGCTGTGCGGTGCAGAGCGGTGCAGGCGGGTTGGCAGGTGCAAGGTTGATGGGGTTTCCAGGGAAGTGTGTTAAGGGATAGTGGAAGAGGTGTGGTCATTGGAGTGCGTTAAGTGTTCTTGGTCAGGTGCTTCTTGCCCTTGTGATTGCTTGTTTGTAGCATTGGATATCTCAACGACCACGCAAATAAGATCCAAATGTGCAATGAAGAAAAACTGCCTTCTTCCGTTCTCCGTTTACCCACCGCCCCCACCCACTCCTATCCCTGCCTTTCCTTTCAACCTCATCTCCCTCCACCCGTCTTCTGTTCTCTGTCTGCCCCTGCCTCCCCAGGGTATCCTGCTGGGAGTGGTGTCAGCAGCCATGGTGTTGGCTGTCGCCCTGGCAGTGCTGTTAGGCATGAGATGGCTCAATGCGCGCAGAGCAGCAGCAGCAGCGGCTGAAGCAGAACAGGAGAAGCTCCTGGGCGCCCGACCCCGCAGCCGCTTCAACCGCCGAGCCAACGCCACAGGCTCGGTGTCGTACATGGGCAGCAGCTTCGGCGGAGGGATGAACGGCAACAGCGGAGGGGGCAGTGGCAGCGGTGGGGCAGGGAGCATGGCGATATCCGCGTTTGGGGCGCACTGCTTCACGTGGGAGGAGATGAGGGAGGCTACTAGCGACTTTGCACCTGCTAATGTCATCGGCAAGGGAGGGTTTGGACAGGTGAGATCTCTTCTCCCTTTTTCTCTGCACTTCTCTCGTTCCTGGCCTTCTTTTTGGTAATACTTTCTCGTCCCGTTTCCCTGTTCCTCCTTGGCTCTGCCAAAGGCGTCTGGCTGGCTGTAGTCAGGCCAAATGTGATCCACAGTGAGGGGGGTTCCGGCGGCTCGAAGAATGCGATGCAGCAACTGCCACTCTGCCTGAAATTCCCACCCAAGATTCCCGACCCGATCCGGCTTCCGCAATCCCCGTCGTCATCGCACCAGCAGCGGGACTTTCCACTCCCAATCAGCTGTTCTGGATCCACTTTCGAGAATTCTTCTTAATAGTGAACCCAGTATCGCGCCAGCTAGGTGTGGCATGGGCTAGCAGCTTCACAATGGGCATATCGTGGTGAAAGATGAGGAAAGCCTCGCCGGTGAAAGATGAGGAAAGCCTCGCCGGCGAGGCAGCCTGGTCGTGGGGTCGGTCGGACCAGGGCGCGAAGGAGTTCATGCCAGAAACAATTTTTTTAGGCGCCTCAAAAACAGCCTGGTGGTGGGGTCGGGCGGACCAGGGCGCGAGGGACTTCATGCCAGAAATGCAGATGCTCGGTGCTCACCCTCCTCTCCTCCTTGTTCTTTTGTCTTCTCTCTCCCACTCCCAACCCGCCCTCCGCGTGCAATCCCCAACAACAGGTGTTCCGCAGGCAGTTGGAGAGCGGGCATATGGTGGCGGTGAAGCGGAGTTTGTCACCGAGGTCGAGCTGCTCACGCGCCTGCACCACCGCCACCTCTCATCCTTCCGTCCCCTCCCTCCTCCGATTCCCTTCCTCTCCCTCCCTCTCCCACTCCCCACCCCCACCTCTCCCACTCCCCTCTCCCACTCCTCTCCCACTCCTCTCCCACTCCCCTCTCTCTCCTCCCTCTCCCACCACCCTCCCTCCCTGCAAACCAGGTGTTCCGAGGGCAGTTGGAGAGCGGGCACATGGTGGCGGTGAAGCGGCTGGACGTGGGGTCGGACCAGGGCGAGAAGGAGTTTGTCACCGAGGTCGAGCTGCTCACGCGCCTGCACCACCGCCACCTCTCATCCTTCCTTTCCCCTCCCTCCTCCCATGCCCTTCCTCTCCCACCCTCTCCCACTCCCCACCCCCACCTCTCCCACTCCCCTCTCCCACTCCCCTCCCACTCCTCTCCCACTCACCTCCCTCCCTTCCCCCTCCCACTACCCTCTCTCCCTGCAAACCAGGTGTTCCGTGGGCAGTTGGAGAGCGGGCACATGGTGGCGGTGCAAGCGGCTGGACGTGGGGTCGGACCAGGGCGAGAAGGAGTTTGTCACCGAGGTCGAGCTGCTCACGCGCCTGCACCACCGCCACCTCGTCTCCCTCATCGGGTTCTGCGAGGAGGACGACCAGCGCCTCATGCTGGTTTATGAATACGTGCCCAATGGCACGCTGCGGCATGCACTGCATGGTGAGTGAATGCATGTCAACGCACCACTGGCAGCACCACTGGCAGCACCACTGGCAGCACCACTGGGAGCATTACTGGGAGCACCACTGGCAGCACTGCTAGGCCGAACCAGAAATGATGGCCAGTGGTACTGCCGAAGGACTTATTCCACTCTGCATTGTTTTTCGCTGTGCCTTTTAGATGCTGACAAGGCTCGGGAAATGACCTGGAACCTTCGCCTCAGGGTGGCGTTGGGAGCAGCCAGAGGAATCGAGTACCTGCACCGAGGCGCCCTGCCACCTGTCATCCACCGGTTGGTCCTCTTGAAGTCTCGTTCTGCCAGTTGTCATTTGCTGGTTGATCTTTTCATCTGGACTTGGACTCCCCCACTCAGAAATGCCCTTTCAACATCTCGCTTTACCGCTCCCATGCGCCCATATTGTGCCCTTTTCCCCTCCTCAATCCCCTCCACAGCGACATCAAGACGACCAACATACTGCTGGACTATCAGATGAACGCCAAGGTGGCGGACTTTGGGCTGTCCCGCCTGGCCCAGCAGGCTGTCAGCGGCACCCACCTGGACCTCATTAGTACCAACGTCAAGGGCACCATGGGTGAGTCAATGCAGGTCAACGCGAGTCAACGTTTCATGGCTGAGGGAGTGGGTCAAGAGGACCTTGGTGCCGTTCAGAAGAGGGCAATGGCTATGGCGGTTGTCAAGGAAGAGGGTCCGTCCAGTGATGCTCATTGCTCTCAATGGAGGAAACAAAGCGTGAACAACCCGAACTTATCCCAGCCAGCAATATCCCAACCCGACCTTTTGCACGAAGCAGCAGCTGATGAAGTTTTTTTTTCCTATACTTGTTCCTTGGTCCAGCCAGATCCTTATAGCTACCTCCCTTCCCTCCATTTCCTCCCCCTCGCCATGGCACCTGGATCCCAATTACCACACAAAGCAGCATGACGGACAGAGAAACTCTCCTCCTTGCTCCTTGCACTGAACTGTCCTCTCCCCACCCCTGCTCCCGGCACCTCCCTCCTTCCCCCACTCCCTCCTCCCCTATCAGGCTCCCTGGATCCCAACTACTACACGAAGCAGCAGCTGTCCACCCCCGCCTCATCACTCCCCCCTCCATCTCCCTTCCCCCCCTTGCTCCTCCCCTATCAGGCTACCTGGACCCAAACTACTACACGAAGCAGCAGCTGACGGAGAAGAGCGACGTGTACAGCTTCGGGGTCATCCTGCTGGAGCTCATCTCCGGCAAGGTCCCCATCTGGATGGAACCCCGCGCTCCCCCTGCTGCTGCCGCTGCCGCTGCTGCTGATGCTGCTGGCGCTGCTGGTGATGCTGGTGATGGCGGTGCTACTCCTGGCGAAGGCAGTTCTGGTGATGACAGTGCTGCTGGCGCTGCTGCTGGTGCTGCTGCTGGCGGCGATGGTGGAGGAGGAGGAGGGGTGGAGGAGAGGCAGCTGCATGACATGGATAGTGACGATGATGATGAGGACGACGATGAGGATAGGCTCATGAACCTGGTTGAATGGGTGAGTGAGTCATGGGGGAATGGGCAAGTGAAGGTGAAATGTGTGAGTGATGGCCTTCTTACAGCCGAGCGGTGGGTAATAGCCCAGGTCTCAGGAGCAGCTTTTCACCTCTCCTGTCCCCAAGGTGTGTGATTTTGGATAAATTTGTCTTTCCTGTTGCATGGTTGCTCACAGCAGCATTGGGGAATCGGATTTAGTTCTTCTCTTTGTTTTTTACTCTCCTTTTTCTAAGATGCAATGATGGCACAAAGTTCTTCCACCCGAATCAACGACTGGGCCTTGCATTTTTTTTTTTTTTTCCTTTTTTTTTTTTTTTGTGTTCCGTTTTACACGGTCGTTTCGTTCGGTACCATAATAACACCAGATTTCAATATATTTCTAAACATCTTGCTCATCTCTTGTTCCCCCACCAAGCTCACCATGCATGACTACAGCACGAAACTATTGTGTGCCTCACTCCCTTTGAGCGAATTGTGAACACCAACTTGGTTTTTTCAATTGACTCATAATGAACTCCATCGTCTCCCGTCCACTCCCTCTCCCCGCCTCTCCCCTTCTCCCCCAGGCATCGCTGCGCATAGAGGTGAGGCGGGTGGACGTGGTGGCAGCAGGGGCTCCCAAAGGTGAATCAACTTCATGTCCTCTCCTCCTCCCTCCCCCATCTCTCTCCCCCAGGCATCGCCGCGCATAGAGGCGGGGCGGGTGGACGTGGTGGCAGCGAGGGAGCTGCAGGAGGCGTCAGAGGCGGTGCTGCAGTCCATGCAGGCCGTGGGGGAGCTCGCCCTCGCTTGCCTTGAGATGCAGGTGGGCCGCGCTCTGCTGCAGGGCTAGACGAGGTGTAGAGACTCCAGGGCTAGAGCAGTAGCGGGCTGGAAGGCTGTGGGGATGGAGGGCTGGAAGGCTGTGGGGATGGAGGGCTGGAAGGCTCGATGTATTGTTGAGGAGACGCTTGGTAAAGGAAGAACTTGCAGCCCACTTACCTTGCACATTTTGTTCTCCTGGTTTTGCACATTTTTTTTCCTTCGATTTTCCCACTACGCCTTTCCCTATCGCACTTCCCTCCCATTATTCCTCCCCCTTTCCCCCCTCATTACCCTCTATCCCCCCCTCCTCTGCCCACCCCAGGCGCGCAACCGCCCCACCATGTCGCAAGTCGTCCGCCAGCTCGAAGAGATCCAGCTGGCGCTTGCAGAAGAAGACGAAGACGCCGCCCAGATGCTACCCATCTCCACCGCCTCCCCGTCAGCAGTAGCAGCAGCCAACTTGGGGACCTCCCTCATTGCATCCGGCATTCCCCCGCCGCTCCCTCTGCCCACGGTGGACGAGGATGCTTCAGCGGACTTCTCCCACCCCAGTGCAGCCAGCAACAGCAATGTGTCGGCTTCCAACCGTGCCTCGCCCCGCATCTCCCCTCGCAGTCCCAGCAACGGGGTCGATGGTGCTGGTTCTGGTAGCTTCACCTCCCCACGCGGCCCCCACAAGCCAGAAGGGAGTGCTGGTGCTGCTGCTGCTGGTGCTGGTTTTGGTGTTGGTGCAATCAAGTCACCTCGTACTCTCATCACCTCGCCTCGCTCCCCTGCCGCGCTCAATCGAACCTCCTCCCTCCCCTCGCCTTCATCTTCCCACCCCCCCGCCCTCTCCCCCAAATCGGCACTCTCTCCCTCGTCCAAGCCTGCAGCCTGGGCCAATCAGTGCTGGCCACGTGGCACAGGGAGCAGGCCCGGCAGCAGCAGCAGCAAGGGCAAGGAGAAGGGAGCTGGTGCTGCTGGGGAGAATGGCATGCAGGTGCAGGAGGGGGAGCGAATGGAGGAAGTGGAGCTGGGGCAGGAGGGGGAGCAGGTGGAGATTCAGAGCCCTATAATAGAGTCGGACCAGGCACCGCTCAAATCGGCCAAGTACCTCTCCAGTGGCCCATTGTTGTAGCATCTCCTGTAGCCCTGAGGTAACGTTGAAGTCGCCTCAAAAGTCCTCAGAAGTCACCTCGGAGCCCTATAGACTCGGACCATGCACCTCTCAGTTCATCCAAGTACCTTTCCGTTGGCCTGCTGTAACTCTTTCTGTAGCCGTGCTCTCTTTCTCCCTATTTAATAAGACATTTATGTTGAACGCCCTTTTCTAGTCGCTTTGTGAGGTTGAAATTGAAGTGTGTGGACTGATTAAGTTGGGCTGAAAACCGCCTATGCTATGCTGGGGAATCCAAACTCTGATACAGAGGTAACTTGAGTGGGAGCTTGGATATCTGAAATGTTTGTGAAGAGAATATAGAATGTTATGAATCACGGTAACAAGGGGTCTTAAAACGTGTCTCACGAGTTAGTATGTACCGTACCTTGCCCAACCAAACTAGATGCCTAGCGGACCGTCGCACCAAGTCAAGCATCCCATTCAGCCGCATTCACACGAATGTGTGGGACATGCCCTCATTTCGATAATATCGCAGCGCATGTCACGGAAATAACGTCTATGTTACACCTAGTATCTCACGCCACACTTACGCCTATTTCACGCCTGTCCGTCGTCTGATGACTAAATCTCGCCATTTGACTTGCATGGCGACAGCGCACCTCGTTTTCCACTGGGGAGAAGAGGGGAGAGACGAGGGGGGAAAACGAGGGTTCTTACTACCATGAACCGCGCCTCGGTTCGCGTCCTGGTGACCGCACATCAAGCCTTCTCGTGTCGCATCGTCTTCACAGTCTAGCAATTCATATACGTTGTCCGAGCACCCACGTTGCCCGCGCACCCACTTTACTGTCTCCACCAGGCTTTCCTTCTTATGCCTCTAGGACGACTTACCCCTCTTTCCTGCGCATCTCTCGTTAGTTCTCTCGGCTAGTCAGAAGGTTCCTCCTTTAACCGGTAAGACAACTTCGTCGCGCATTTGTTGCTCCCACTTCTCCCTTGCAAATTCCTGGTGCACTACTTTTGCTCTGCCTGTATTTTTCTTCCTTCCACTTTTCTTGATTACCAGGGCGGATTGAACTCGAGCATTGGTAACAGGAGTCTGGGTTTGGGCACGAGAGGACGGTAATTTGGCACCATGGCTGGGGGAACAGAGCCCAGTGAGTTAACTGAAGCAGTGAGAGGGCTGCTTGGATTGTTGAAAGGGGTTTCTGCATCAACGGAAGGGGAGTTGGCAGCAGTGAAAGAGGAATTAAACGCGTTCAAAGGGGAGTTGGCACTTGTGAAGGAGGAGTTGACTGAGTGTAAGGGGGAGTTGGCACGTCTGAAAGAGGAATTGGCCGAGTGTAAGAGGGAGTTGGGAACAACGAAGGGGTGGCAGTGGGTGGAGGACCTGAGGTTGAATTTGGAGCACCTGATGTTGACTGTGGAGCAGAGATTCCAGCAGAGCACAGGCAATTGCAAGACGATGTGGGAGGTGAGAACAACAGTGTCCAGACTACCGTATATCAGAACTCTCAAGCTGCTCGATTGCTTGTCTATATCATCCGCTTCATGTCGCCCATTTATGATCTCTACTCTATCCTTCCTTGCTCTTTCTCCTTGCCCGCCAGAGAATCAAGATAGCACAAAATGCCATCATTGATCACGTGTCCGCCATGGCTACCTCAGGAAAAAACGCTATCCCTTCTGCTGATGTTAAGCCCCAGGGCGAAAAGAATAGGGAGGTCTCTATCCAAGGAATACAGTACAAGTGAAAAAAATGAAGGGGTTGGGGAGGGGGGGGGCTTTCGGGGGATTATGTTAAACCACCTGGGCAGTGCAAGTATTGTGTGAGTTATATTTGAGTGTGACGGAAACTCCTGTGCACCATATTTGAGTAATCTGGTTGCTGTCATCATCATGGCTACGACTACCAACATGGTGGTTGCTGATAACACGCAGTGGTTTCTATTTTCATAGGGGGTAGAGAGAATCATGATGAACAGCCTTTGCAGTGCAGTGGATCAGAGGAGAGGCAGTTAGGCAAAACAGAGGCGACCACTGTGGTCACCACCACCATCATGGACATACCAGTATGTGACACCTGCTACACCTGCTTCAACGTTTACATATGTGACACACAGCCTCAGAAGTCAGCGAAAAAAAGCTGATTTAGGGTCTGGACGCTGATTTCCCAGACTTGTGGCTGATGTGTTGGCTGATAATTCAGTTTTTTTTTTAATGTGTTGGCTGATTGTTCAGGTTTTTTTTTTATGTATTGGCTGATTTTCCAGCGTTTTTTTACAAGTGTTGGCTGATTGATCAGACTTGTAACGAGAGTGTAGGCTGAACTCTCACGCTATTACAGATATGTGCCGGAGCCGTGAGTTTCGGCTGTCCAGATACATCCACCGTCAATCACGCAAAAGTCACCATGTACAGCGCCGACGCGGGGGAAAACGAATTTCCCCGACGCGTCGGTGCTTCGTTGTCACCAACAGAATGCTTTGATTGATGTGATTGGTTGTCACATCCCTTATGCGCCAATCACCCACCACCAGTGCAGCACAGCAACGCACCGCACGCACTCACGACAACCACCTCGCCCCATCTCACCCACCCCGAACCTGCATCCAAGTGCGTGCCCTAAACATAGAACCAATCCAGTTCAGCCTGCGTTTTTTAGTGAGGCTGATTAGTCAGCGTTTTTTTTTGTGACTTGTCTGAAATTTCAGTTTTTTTTTTTACCAACTCTGATTGATCAGCCAAGCGTAGCCTGCTAAGGCTGACGTATCAGCCAAGCTAAAAACGAATCTGAGGCCCTGATGTGACAGTATCCTTCTCGGGTTCAGTAACTGCATGTGGGGTTTGCCTTCTGTCAGCACAGAAATCTGGTAGAAAAAGTCCACACATTCTTGCCATGAAAAGGAAATGTCTTGAAGTCAAGCCAACCTAGGCTTCAACCATCGTCCACAGCAGCAGCGTGTCCAACAAATGCTTGACGCTGTGTGTGGAGTGGACTGGTACCAGTAGGCCGGATTTCACAAGCAACCAGCAACTCACCCATCATCCCTAGCAGCAGCAACTCACCCATCATCCCTAGCAGCAGCAACTCACCCATCATCCCTAGCAGCAGCAACTCACCCATCATCCCTAGCAGCAGCAACTCACCCATCATCCCTAGCAGCAGCAACTCACCCATCATCCCTAGCAGCAGCAACTCACCCATCATCCCTAGCAGCAGCAACTCACCCATCATCCCTAGCAGCAGCAACTCACCCATCATCCCTAGCAGCAGCAACTCACCCATCATCCCTAGCAGCAGCAACTCACCCATCATCCCTAGCAGCAGCAACTCACCCATCATCCCTAGCAGCAGCAACTCACCCATCATCCCTAGCAGCAGCAACTCACCCATCATCCCTAGCAGCAGCAACTCACCCATCATCCCTAGCAGCAGCGCCTTCCATGCGTCGGGGAGACCGAGCTTGTTGCAGTAGTGCAAGCGGTCATGCAGGCTGGATGGGCTTGCATGATACATTGGCTCAAGAGGCAGCGACCGGCAAATTATCACTCGGCCATCATCCCCACCAGACGCTCGTTCCATGTGTCGGGCACACCGGGCAAGCAGTAGTGCGCGCAGTCATGCAGGCTGGATGAGCTTCAGACACAGAATCCAAAATGCCACAGTAGGATTGTTACCCACACGCCAGAATGCCGTCACTCGGCCATCATCCCCAGCAGCAGCTCATTCCACGCGTCCGGCACATCAGGCACGCAGTAATGCGCACAATCATGCAGGCTGCTCTGCCTGCCGTAGTGCGCTGCTGGCCGTGCATCGTGGCGGAAGAGAGACAAGTCGTGGATGTCCCACAGCCGCATACTGCTGCTCCACCCACCCGCCCTGACCCTCCCAACTGCCCTGCCCCGTACATGTGCTGACCATACCCACAAGACAGGCAGCCAGCAGGCTGTCACTCGGCCATCATCCCCAGCAGCAGTTCGTTCCACGTGTCGGGCACACCGGGCACGCAGTAGTGCACGCAGTCATGCAGGCGGACCTGCTTGCCCTGGTACCCAGCTGGCCGCGCATCGTGGCGGAACAGAGACAAGTCATGCACGTCTAACAGACGTATGCTGCTGCGCTGCACACCTGCTCTTGCTGAACGGACATGCGCTGATCGTGCCTGCTGCTGCCCCTGCTGCCCCTGCTGCCCCTGCTGCCCCTGCTGCCCCTGCTGCCCCTGCTGCCCCTCTCTTCCCCCGACATCCTTTTCCGCCTCTCCCCTCTCCCTCTCCTTCTCCTCCTCCTCCACCACCCTCCGCAGCACCGCTTTCAACACCTCGTTCTTTCCCCGGGTCAGCACCGCCATCATTGTGCGTGCCGTCGCCACGTCAGCAATGGGCCGCGTGGCGGGACAGCTGGCGTTGAACTGGAACGACACGCTGGTAACCAGGAACGCGCGCGCGGTAACGTGTCGTCTGTGGTGCAGAGCGGTGAGAATGGTTGCGACGGCGTGCGGATAGGCTTCGACGATGTTGGTGCGGTGGAAGGGCGGGTTGAGTGTGAGACCGTATCGCTCTACCTGCCTTGGCTTCCACCAGTTGCCTGATGCATGGAAGTGGGGGCGAAGGGAGAGTGGGGAGGGGAGGGGAGGGGAAGGGGAAAACAGGAGAAGGCGTTAGGGGAGATGGAAAAAGAAGGCGTTAGGGGGGATGGAAAAAGAAGGCGTTAAGGGGGGATGGAAAAAGAAGATGTTAAGGGGGGATGGAAAAAGAAGGTGTTAAGAGGGGTTGGACAAAGAAGGCGTTAGGGGCGATGGAAAAAGCGGGGGGTGTTAGGTGTTAAGGGGGGTTGGACAGAGCGGGGAACATGGGGATGGTGGTGGGAAGGGCGCGCGAGTAGGCTCTGATGATGCGGGTGTGGTGAAAGGGCGGGCTGAGAGGAGGGAAGAGGGAGATGAAGGGAAAGGGGGAGGTGAAGTGGCAAGGGAAAAAACAACTCGTGCTGTGCTGTGCTGTGCTGTTGGTGAGACATACGATGGCATGCTGATGTCAGCATCCAACGAGAATGCCGCATGTCCTACCTTATGATGCATACATACGCTGACAGCATGCACCTTCACCCATGCATGCAACTTGTCGCATGCATGAAGATCACGCCATAGAAAACTCAGGCCACTAACCGGTGTTGAAGATGATGATGTCATACGAGGGCACGACATCCGCCCATGTGCTGTCGGCTTTGCCGACATCCACCCGGCCTCCCTTGACCCATGCATGCACCATAGCCCATGCATGCACCATAGCCCATGCATGCACCATAGCCCATGCATGCACCATAGCCCATGCATGCACCATAGCCCATGCATGCACCATAGCCCATGCATGCACCATAGCCCATGCATGCACCATACCCCATGCGTGCACCATAGCCCATGCATGCACCATACCCCATGCATGCACCATAGCCCATGCATGCACCATAGCCCATGCATGCACCATAGCCCATGCGTGCACCATAGCCCATGCATGCACCATAGCCCACGAATGCACCATAGCCCATGCATGCACCATAGCCCATGCATGCACCATAGCCCATGCATGCACCATAGCCCACGAATGCACCATAGCCCATGCATGCACCATAGCCCATGCATGCACCATAGCCCATGCATGCACCATAGCCCATGCATGCACCATAGCCCATGCATGCACCATAGCCCATGCGTGCACCATAGCCAATGCATGCACCATAGCCCACGAATGCACCATAGCCCATGCATGCACCATAGCCCATGCATGCACCATAGCCCATGCATGCACCATAGCCCATGCATGCACCATAGCCCATGCACGCACCGTAGCCCATGCATGCACCATAGCCCATGCATGCACCATAGCCCATGCATGCACCATAGCCCATGCATGCACCATAGCCCATGCACGCACCATAGCCCATGCATGCACCATAGCCCATGCATGCACCATAGCCCATGCTGCACCATAGCCCATGCATGCAGCTCACTCATCGCCACTGACCGGTATTGAAGACGATGACGTTATACCCTGGCACGACATCCGCCCATGTGCTGTCGGCCGTGCTCACATCCAGGCGCCCTCCCTTGAATAGGTCCCTGGCGTCCACCCATGCTGTCTCCACCATGAACACACTCCTACCATGCCACAACGTGCCACAATGTGCCATCACATGCCATCACATGCCATCACATGCCATGCCATCACATGCCATCACATGCCATCACATGCCTGCACATGCCATCACATGCCATCACATGCCATCAAATGCCAGCACATGCCTGCACATGCCATCACATGCCATCAAATGCCATCACATGCCAGCACATGACAGCACATGCCATCACATGCCATCACATGCCATCACATGCCATCACACGCCAGCACATGCCATCACATGCCATCACATGCCTGCACATGCCATCACATGCCATCACATGCCATCAAATGCCAGCACATGCCTGCACATGCCATCACATGCCATCAAATGCCATCACATGCCAGCACATGACAGCACATGCCATCACATGCCATCACATGCCATCACATGCCATCACATGCCATCACACGCCAGCACATGCCATCACATGCCATCACATGCCTGCACATGCCATCACATGCCATCAAATGCCAGCACATGCCTGCACATGCCATCACATGCCATCAAATGCCATCACATGCCAGCACATGACAGCACATGACAGCACATGCCATCACATGCCATCACATGCCATCACATGCCATCACACGCCAGCACATGCCATCACATGCCATCACATGCCTGCACATGCCATCACATGCCATCAAATGCCAGCACATGCCTGCACATGCCATCACATGCCATCAAATGCCATCACATGCCAGCACATGACAGCACATGACAGCACATGCCATCACATGCCATCACATGCCATCACATGCCATCACATGCCATCACATGCCATCACATGCCATCACATGCCATCACATGCCATCACATGCCATCACATGCCATCACATGCCATCACATGCCATCACATGCCATCACATGCCATCACATGCCATCACATGACATCACATGCCATCACATGCCATCACATGCCATCACATGCCATCACATGCCTCCTGCCATCCCCAGCAGACCACGACATGCAGTTGCAACATGGCAGGCCAGTTCAAACCATGTCATGCCATGGCGTCAAGGGCAGGGCAGGTGAATGGGCACAGGGCAAGTGTGGGCACAGGGCAAGTGTGGGCACAGGGCAAGTGTGGGCACAGGGCAAGTGTGGGCACAGGGCAAGTGAATGGGCACAGGGCGAGCGAGTAGCAGCTTGTGAGGCTGTCACCACAGCACGCCAAGCAATGCAGACAGAGTTTCAGAGCCACTCTGTCCCTCACCACCAGATGCGCGACTCACCAGATGAATCCCCAGAGCCTGTCTGCCTGCACCCCATTGCTGGACACACTACCCGCCAAACAAGGCACGCTCCAAATGAGGGTGAGCGTGACGTTGCACGGCGACCAGTGCAGCGAGTACGATCTTTCTACCTTCCCTGGCGCAACTTGGGGCAAGGTGCGTGGCAGCTTGAGAGGCTGTGACCACAGCGCGCCAAGCAATGCGGAGACCTAGCATAACACCACCCAGCAAACGAGGAACCCACCAGATGAGGGTGAGAGTGACGTTGCAGTGTGTCCAGTGCAGCGAGTATGATCGCTCCACCTTCCCCGGCGTCACGTCCGGCGCTCCCAGGAATCGATGCGCCATGCACGCCATTGACGAAAATATGTTCTCCATGATCGAATCCCCGATATAAATGATCCGTTTGTTTTTTAGTAGCTCGCAGAGGGTCATTCGCGTCGGATGCGGTGGGGTGCACCCGTTTCCGTCGATCTCCCACCGCCATTTTTCGTACTCGTTATCAGGCCGTCCGTTTGAAGCGCAGTTGAACTTTTTCGGGATGAGCGGGCACGATCGCGCGTCGTACAGCGGCAGCGACGGATCGACGGTCCATCGTCCTTTCGTCACGTCGCACGCTGTCGTTCTGGCGACAGCAGCTGCTGGAACGTTAGACGCGGCCTTCGCGACGTTCGCGACACATTCGTTGACATTTCGGCGACGAGAAGTCTTCACATTCGCGTCGCTCGACTGCAGGATCAGACTCGCCCGGCCGACAGATGTTGCCAACACCTGCGGCTCGTCAGCGGCGAGGCGGCGGCCGCGCCCCGGCCGCGCTGCGGCTGCTGATGATACGGCGCGGGATCCGGACGAGCTACGAGAGGCGACAGGAGGGAGACAGTCGAGGAATACTAGCGCCGGTAGAATCAGGAGCAGTACGGATGCTCTCAGGACGAGCGGCGGGCGTGGCGCACGCGATGCGGGATGAGCGATGAGCGACGAGCGTAGGTTACGGAGCGAAGCAACGAGCCGATGAGCCTTCATCTGCTGCCCGGGAAGAATGCGGAATCGCACTGAAATCATTGACCGCATTCCGGTACAACAGTCAGTAACATGCATTCAAGCATGCACAGCGGCACGACTCTTTTCTCAGCAGCACCATTTACTCCAGCGGCACAGGAAAAATATGTTTATTGCCATCTCAAGAACCATGTGGCAAGATGAAGCAAGATCGACCCTATGTAGGTTCGATCGCCTCTAGGGGACGTGTGCATGTGAACTAGGCGGGCTCGTAGGGGGTACGAGGGGGAAATAGCCCCAGGTGCGGCACGGTGGCACTGAAAGGAAATGATGTTGGAATCGATCTCAGAAAATTGGGGTCCAGCTTAGAACGAGTATGGACGGGAATACCAACCGGCACAATTGCCTGCAGAACGTCAATCCCCCTCGCCGGCTTGTCTCCCAGCAACGACAAAAAAACCACTTCACCGTACGTCAACATACTCCATCCTACTTCACCTCACACCATGCCTCACTGAAGCCCTTCGTGCTGAAACTGGAGAACTTTACCACATTCATCGACTCACTACCGTACAGAACCCAAGTTGCTGAATATCGCTCCCAACCCCGCGGATGCATCGTTTCTGAGTCTCTGCTTGAACCATCTCCTAGCCAAACCCCAAAAGCCGCTTGGTCTTCCTTCTCGGTCTAAACAGTCCGCACCGCACTACCCACACTTGCCGTTAGTAATGTAATCGTTGCAGTGCATACATCACTGCGGTACAGTGCGCTTTCGTCGATTCTTGAGCGACATGCATGCAGCGTCGTTCACGCACGTGGGCGATCAACCGCCAGGTCTCGTCGCCGAATGCACGGCGGCATATACGGCCGATGCTCACCCGAGTGCCGCTCAGCGCGATCATCGTTGAGCCTGGCAAAGGCGTAGTTGTTGTCGAGTCAACGCAGCTGATACCGCCAACCATTGCACGCAATGTTCACCCCACCAACCGTGTTAACCTGCGAGTGCGGAGACTTCGCTGCCAGAAATAACCACCAGCACCAGCGGCCTTTGAGTGCCGCCGTACGATCCGCGAGAGGTTGTTGCGTCTCTCGCACCGCTTACAGCCCATGCGCTGCGCTCGCGGCTCCGGAGTGTCGAGTCGGTCGGGTTGAGAGACGGGGAGAGAGAGGGAGAGAGGGAAATCTGGGCGCGGGGGGTGATATAAAGCTGGCAGGAGCAGGCACTATCATTCACAGCATTCGCAGACTGTTCTGAGTCGGTCTTAGTGGAGTGTCCTGTACCTGGCCATCCTCTTTCACAGTCGTCCCGGCCCGCGCCCTCGATTTTTCTACTTCGCCACTTCCTTTCCCGCTCGGAGAAAACATGGCGCGAAACGCGGTAACCCCGTGGGCGGTTTTCGCCAGCGGCATCGCAGCGCTCCTCGTCACGTCTCTTCTGAGCAGCAGCGCGCTCCTGAAGGCGCAGGCGCAGGGAGGGGGGCAGGTGGACTGGGAGGCGCAGACGGAGTCGCTCCTCCAGCAGGTGTCGCAGCAGACATATCTCTCCGCGTTCTCCGAGATCTTCACCGACTTCTGTGAGACTCTTAACCCTTTTTGTCTCACTCACTGAACGTTACCCTCTCCGCCTTCTCTGAGATCTTCACCAACTTTTGTGAGCTCGCAACTCATCCCAGCCCATCCCAGCCCATCTCACTGAACGCTTTTTTTTATTTCTGACCTTTTCTGAAACCCTCTCTCTTCCTTTTTCTAGCAACTCCTGCATTGATACCCACTTCTCTCTTGCTTCTTACCTGTCCCATCCCATCCTCCCTCATTAATTCTTTCCACCTTCTTTCCTCCTCCCTCGTCCCCCCTCCTCCACTGCTCGCAGACCAATCAGGCCAGCTGTACATCGACCAGCCGGCCACTCTGCTCGTCCCCACAAATGTGGGGCACTGGCGCTACCAGATGCAGTGGAACACGCTCACGCCCAAGCAGAAGCGCCGCGTGCTGCGATACCACGTGATTAAGGGCCGCTACACCACGCAGGAGCTCCTCGACGCCCCGCCGCTCACGCTCTTCCCCACTCTGAACCAGAACCTGCCGGTGAACAAGACGGCCAAGCCCAACGAGGTGTATTTCCAGTCCATTCCCCCCATGAAGTTCGCCTCGCCCCTCAGCGTGCCCAACGCCGGGCTTACGGAGAACCTGGCTGCGCATGGCGTGACATTTGTCATCCTGCCGCCTAACCTCAACTGCACTTCCTCTGCTTGCAAGAAAAGGCAATTCTAAGCTGGATGGGGTCTGGCAAAAGCAGCAGCAGCAGCAGCGGCTCTGGAAAGTTAAGGAGGCCCTTGGGTGCTGTTGATTCTGATCAACGAGCAGGTCAGGCAGCCATGCTTCCAGGGGATACCATGTTGTGAATCGCATCTCTTGGTTTTCAATGTGTATGTTTGGACTGCTTCGTTTTTTTATGATTGAAGCCTGCGTTCACAAGCCTGAGGAGTCTGATGATCAAGCATTGCTAACTTGTTTAAAATTTTAAAATGATCAAATCAAACGTCCTAAGCTTGTACGACCAAGTTTGCGTAAGCTCATGCATGATGATGCAAACTCAGTTGCTTTTTTCTCACTGATCTGTTCACACAGCAAGTGTGAATACCGTAACATTGCTTTGTCCACCTATCAAATCTGTTTAGATACATTTTATTGGCAAAGCGCTAAGTTATGCAGCGTACCGCACTGAAGTGCAGTCAACCACACACCTTCAGTGCACCAGGGCAAGCTGCTTCGTCTTCACTTCACAGGCCCAACCAACCGCCCTCTGCAACAACTGTCGGCTTTCGTAAAATCGTGATGTGCTTCTCAAATCTCGAGCATTTTAGGGCGTTATCACACTCAGTTTTGACGGCTGCTGTGTATGAGGGAAAATTGTGAGGGTACTACTGATTTGTAAGACTGTTTCTAGCTGCTTCACAGTTACGCGCCTACCCTAAAACCTCGCATGGAGGCTGCGGCACGCACGGATCGCCTCCATAATCGCGGATATTTTCTTTGTCCTCGACGCTGCTGGATTTTACAGCCATACAGTAGCGCGGATGCCGCTTACCTGTTCCATCTTCTCCCCCGCGTCGCATCGGCTCGCACTCGTCACGTTGTCTCGCTCTCGTAGCATCCATCTACTCTCCTTGCACCGTCGCCTCCCCCATTAGAAAATGGAACACCGGTGCCCCATACACGGTCTTCCCGATGAGCTCCTCGTCAAAATCCTTTGGCACTCCTCCTCCAATCAGCAGCCGTCGACCTCCACATACAGATCTGCCAGCGACGCACTGTGGGACTTGTTGAGACCCGAGCCCATGTACATCTATGCAAATCCGTCCGTAGATCCACCCATCTATCCAGGACCATTTGAGGTCGATTACCGCGAGGTCGACAAGATTCCGTTACAGTCGCTACCCACTCCTATCCTTGCAGACGCCTCGCGAAATCTCCTCATCGCGTCCGTCTGCCGTCGCTGGCGAAACATTGCTCGTCGCTACGTCACCACGCTTTTCGTCAAGGAGGACATTGTGGTTTCTCGCCAGGACCTTTCGTATGCCGTCGCCTGCTTCGCGAATCTCACCCATCTCCATCTGAGCGACAGCAGCGTAGAAATCCTAGACGATGCCTTTTTCACTCACCTCGCCACGTCATGCGGCCCTAAGCTGATAGCCCTCCACGTAGGACGTCAAATCACACATACGCTGGGCAAATACCATCCTCACTGCGATTCGAGGATGGATCTACACCCCGTCTCCGAATCTGGGTTAGATCGTTTCTTCCGGCATTGCTCTCAGCTGCAGCAGCTTTCCCTTTATTGCCTCCATCCACACGCGAAGCTACCGGCTTCCTTCTTCCAACTAACTGATATGCACACTCTTGTGCTGACAGACGCGTCCGCGTTAGAATCTCCTGACCTGGCGAATCTCACTTCCCTCACCACCCTCCTTATCGCATCTCTGAAACTCACGCGCGAGCAGCTCTCCAACCTCGTTCGCCTGCGCAGCCTCACAAGCATCTCCATCTCGCCAGTAACGCAAGTCGAACTCTCGGCTGCTCTCCCTATTGCACAGCTTCCCAAGTTAAAGTCGCTGGAATTCGCGGGATGCTTCCCCGAGTTGTTCCCGTCGGGAGAGCCGAGCAGCAGCGTCGAGCGGCTAGTCATCTCCATGAAACCATGGAGGGACGATGAGCAGTTTGATGAAACCGTGGAGCTTCCTAGCGATATTGCACAGCTGCTGCCGCGCCTTCGAGAGCTCACCATTCGCGAGTGCGAGAAGTTTTCCGAGCTGCCCGAGTGCTTCGCTTCCCTCAGCAATCTAAAGAGTGTGGTTATCTCCACCTGCGACGATTTTTGCAGCGTGCCTGGGAATTTCGGGCAGCTACCTGTTCTGAAAACATTGGTGCTGAACGCAGTGTATTTTCTGCCCAATCTTCCAGACTCCTGCCAGCTCACCTCCCTGGAGACTTTAATCATGAGCGAGTGTGTTCAAATGGACCAACTACCTGACGGATTCTGCAACCTCACATCTCTCCAGACCCTATGCATTATGCACGTGGTAGAATGGGACGAGTTCCCCATTCCAGAGTGCATTGCAGGGTTTCCTCAACTTCATACACTTTATTTGAAGAGTGTTACTGTGGATCAACTCCTGCCTTCACTCCCCAGGCTGACTTCCTTGACTCGGCTTGAACTGGACAGCTGCCAGATGGAAGGAGAACTCCCTCGGGATTTGGGGAAGCTGAGTAACCTGCAGCAGCTGCATCTCCGTTCCTGCCCAATCAGGAAGCTTCCAGTGTCCTTCACTGCTCTCACCAGCCTTCAGACCCTCACAATCGAGTGTTGTAAGCAGCTCACTTCTATAGCAGGGAGCCTGGACAACCTGAAAAAGCTCAAGCTTTTGCAGTTGACAGGTTGTTGCATGCTCGCTAAACCTCCCGATTTCCTTCCTCGCTCTCTGGAGGTCCTGAGCTTAGATCTCCCCAACCGAGTAACCTTCCTGCCAGATCTCTCAATGCTGTCAAATTTAAGGAGATTGACTCTGAAGGTGGAGGGGACAGGGCAAGGAGCAGCCGGAATCGGCAGCAGCAGCAGCAGCGCACCTCATCTGAAACATCTGGAGAATGTGGAGTATTTGGATCTAACCATTGGAGCAGCTGTTGAGAAGTTTCCGTTCCCTCGGTTTCCGTTCCCGCAGCTTCGCGTCTTGGAGATCTCATATGGAAATCAGATTCAGCAACTTCCAAGCGACCTCGGGATCGACCTGCCGCAGCTACGGCAGCTGCGATTGCATGTCACCGAGGGGTTGACAGAGCTGCCTGATACCATCACACGGCTCCAGCACCTCACATCGCTGGACATAGAACACGCACCCCAGCTAGCCTCCCTCCCGGAGGGCATTGGTGCGTTATCCAGGCTGAGGTACCTTCGCCTGTCCCGCTGCGCAGCACTGCAGCACCTCCCTGCCTCCCTCACCCGTCTCACATGTCTTCACGAGCTGAATGTCGAAGGCACAGGCATCCGCGCCCTTCCTGCCAACGTGGCTCAGCTGTCCCGGGTGAAGGAGCTGTACTTGGGAGGGTGCAAGCAGCTGCAGGCGCTGCCCGAGGGCTTGACTGACCTCACGATGCTGCGGCTCATGGAGGTAAAAGGGAGTGACCTCGCGATTGACAGTATGAGCGACGAGCAGGAATGTCGCATCCATAACATGTATGACCTGAGGACAGATATCTCTGGTCAATAGTGCCTCTTGATGCCCAGTTGCTGGTTGGTGGGGGGGGGTAAAGGGGACTGACCATGCAGTTGATACCATCGGCCTGGTACAAATTTGGGGCTTTCAAGTGATGCACAGTGCACACATTGGACCTAGTACCGGTACTATGCCACGAGTTACTGGTGGAATGAATACGGGGACGTGAGCAGGGCTGTTATGGTATTTCACTAGTAAAATGCTACATCTCTATGAAAACTATACAGTACTGGTACCGTACCGGTACATACCATACGGCACCACGTGTCAAAGTTGGGTGACTGCTTTCCTGAATTTTCATTGTTGTTTTACAGTAAAAGTTTGTTTGTTACGTCCCTCCTAGCCAAGGTTTATTGCGGTCATGTGTCCATATGAAATGAATACCGTACATGCCACTGCAAAAGCTTGATCAATGCTTTCCACTTGGGCAGCAGCATGCCTAAATTCAATTACGGTAGCATTTACAACAACATTCTCGCCCAAATACCTCAGGTTTGCTTATCCAGGGTATAGTTATGATGGTACCTGCAAATCAAACTGAGGCTGGCCTCGTGAAAAGTAGGAGCTTGGAATAATACCCGTACCACAACTTGAACTGATTGCATTTCTTTCACAACACAAGTTCTAGCATGGGAGCTGTAGTGGCCATAGATAGCCAAGTGAATCCTTTTTAACACAGCGAAAGGAAAGTGGCTTCAAAAGTCGTCATCAAAAACAGCAGTGCTGCCTGACTTGGCTGGAAAGAAGATGTTGATGCGGATGGGACGGAAGGAAGAGGCCGGTCATGATATACTAGATGCTGAACAATATTATGATCACACCAAACACAAGAAAGACTTCACAGCAAGACTTAACAGCAAATGATTACCTTCATGTACCTTTGCACAGCAGTCATCGTTTCCAGCATCAGGAAAACCCACCACCGCATTCATGCAATCATATCGTCATCATCGTTGCCGTCGCCACAACTGCTCACACCATGCAATAACCAAATCACCATCGTCACATGGACTCATCACATCATCAGCATCGCATCCCCATGCAGTCATCCCATCATAATCATCATCATCACCTCACATGCATCCCTCACATCACCATCATCACCTAACATGCACTCCTCACATCATCATCGTACCGTTTATTGATCGCAACATTATTCGAGCCTGACCGTCCCTTTCCGCTGCCTTTTTCAGCCACTCCTTCCCCTGAGCAGCAAACAATGAGAGTAGACACACGGGAGCACACAGTGAGGATACACACACTAGAGAAAATAGATAAAGCGGAGGGCATAAAAAAGAGGTGATAAGGAGCACGGGGCTGGTAATGAAGGATTTGCAGGACAATCGACACACGGAGGTATGGAGGAATGCACACTGAGTGAAAAAAAAAGAGTAAATGACGATTTTCCCCACCTCACCTGACGTGCACCTTAATCCGTCACCTCAAGAGGTGTATCTGACTGACCCCGAGGTGACTTACATGTCAACCCAGCAGTCAAATTCCCTTTACTCCTCCCTTGGCTTGAACACATCGGCTCTGGTACCACAACCCAAAGAGTGCATCTGAAAGGTAGACTGACTATTTGCTTCCGTATAGAGAAGGCAAATGGCAAGTCTTAAAAATCATACTTTCCCCCCCTTACTCACGTTGCAACCATCGGTCTGAAAAGCAAATTCTGAAAAAACCGTGAGCGTGAGTCTTGCAACAATTCTGTAAGTGTCTTATCGTGAAGCGCATCCTGAAAAGGTGAGTCATTTTCCTCTCTGCTCACCTTAGCTGCGTCCGCCTTGACGCCGTACAGCGAGAGGTACATCTGCGCTAGCAGTGTCTTGAGACGTCTCTAAACTCAAACTAAAGCATTATTTTCCGCTCCTCACCTTAGCTGCGTCAGCCTAGACGCCATACCCCGACAGGTAAATCTGTGCCAGCAGCCGTCGTGGGCGTATCAAGACTCAAAAATGATTTATCTCGCTCCTCACCTTGGCTGCGTCCGCCTTAACGCCGTACCTCGAGAGGTACATCTGCCTTTTGAGTCGACTCAAAGGTCATCTCCTCACCTTGGCTGCGTCCGCCTTGACGCCATACCCCGAGAGGTACATCTGCGCCAGAAGCGTCTTGAGACGTTTCAAAACTCAAAACTAAGTGTTTTCCGCTGCTCACCTTGGTTGCGTCCGCCTTGACGCCGTACCCCGAGAGGTACATCTGCGCTAGCAGCGTCTGCATGGGAGCGACGCCGCTCTCCGCCTCGGATTGCGTCTGCCGGAACCACCGCTGCATGCACTCGTGCACCATAGCGCGCAGCGGCACGCGCTGCTGCTCTGACGTTTCTCGCTGCGGTTGCGACGCCGGATCGGTCCGTGCTGCTGCTTGCGTTGCAGCTGCGTCTCGGTTCAACGCCGTGTCTTGTCTCGCTTGCTTTTGCCTTGACGCTGACGTGGCGTGCTCCTTCCCCTTATCTGTTCTCTCCTCCATCTTCCCGTGAATCGCGCTATCGTTATTGTTCCGCCAAGCTCTTACTATGTCGCAAAATCGTCTTCTCCTACGCACCCTCTTTTGAGTCGACTCAAAAGTCTTCTCCTAAGCACTCTCCCGTCCAAATCGTCGCCTATAGTTCTCAGAATAATATAAGGGCCTATCCTCTAATTCCTCACCTCCGCTTTGGCTCCCCAAGTTCGTAGGCTAGTCGCGGATGCATGAACTTGAATCAAACTATATGTGATAACACGACAGTAACGAGAAATAAGCTCAACTGAGGGTCAGTACGAGCGCTCGTACATGCCAATTGTACGAGGAAGGGACACAAAACGAGACGTGGAGCCGGCATCGATATGATTAGCCAGCGAAACGTAACTTCCTAAAGTCGTTCTGACCTTCAAGAGTGACGAGAGCTTCGTACGAAAAGGTCCGACTCAATCAAGCACCTCTTTCTATCTGAACTGCCAGCACTCCCTTTGCAGGAAACGCACGGAAGCTAGGGGAGACCGACGAAGCTGCGCAAGGATGGCTGACCGAAGCACCTACTGATATTTTTGAAATAGGCTAATCTCCTAAACTGCTAGTCTGACGGCCTGTCGTATCTTAGGGTGTGATAAAGATTTAATATGGTGGGATGACCTCTTGTGTGTGTCAGAGCGGCTTATAGCAGTTTAAAACGGTCGGGTAAGGTTTCGAGGCGATCCTGAACACTTACAACGTGTTTGCCCAGAAACTCCTATGCTTCTCTCGCCTAGGGTCCACCCCTTCTCCCCGATTCGCGTCGCATGTCGCATCGCAATCTGGTCGCAGTCGCAGGGGCACGAATCGAGCGTTTCCGCCAACAATCGCGGATCAAATGAGGTTTGTGACGAAGAGGTCGTGCTGATTGGTGGTAACTGATTATGAAAAAGAGACCTGATTGGTGCGCAAAAACAACTACACCTAAAAGCATCACCCATTAGTACACACAAACAAGGTTGAAAGCAGTGGCTGTCTGATGATTAGTTTCTTCCGACAGCATCTATCATTCAATATCATGCACACTGTTCCTCCTTTCTACAGCACTGATGCGGTTGAATCTCAACTAAAAAATAATCTGACCCTGCAATCTTCCAGTAGTTAAAGGGACACCACAGGCACATCTATTCGGGAGCCATGAGGTTACGGAATGTGTTGCTTGAGAGCTCAGAATCTGTCACGCCCATGTTGCCGTCCATAATGTCACGCCGGCTCATTCCTCCTGTTTGTGTCTTGTGCATCATTTGCACAAACTCGTTGTAGTCAATGGTTCCATCCTGCAAGAGGGGCAAGAATGGGTGGATTGAGCAGGGAATCGAGCATTGTGAGCATGCAACCAGTGAAAGAGCGAGCCACTATTGGCAAACACAAAATCCTCATCCCTAACGCAAATACACAAACCAGATCAGTTGCAATCTTACTCCATCATTGCCATCGCTCGTCATCCTTATCCAGTCGCATCTAATCCTTGCCCATCGCTCCTCAAATGCCCTATGTTGTTTCAAGTTGCCTGTCCTTCCACACTACCTTTCCGCTGTCCCACAGCTTGCCCATACCCACACCCACGCCCAACCCCACCCCCAACCCCACGCCCACACCAGCATACACACCCTCCCACACACCTACACCCACACTCACACCCTCAATTACAGAAAGTGACTCACGTTGTTCTCGTCGATCTCCTCCATCATCGCCATGATCTCGTCCTTGCTCAGCCGCAGCTCCTCACACGCCTTCTGCAGCTCGTCCAGCGTGATGGTGCCGCTGCCGTCCGCATCAAAGTACTCAAACGCCTTGAGCAGGTTCTCCTGCTTGTCTATCTTGCTCAGGTGCAGCGTCGCTGCCAAGAACTCCCCGTACTCGATCTCACCACTGTGGTCAATGTCCGTCTGTGTGGAATGGGATGAGAGAGAGCAGAAAAGAGGGTGGCAGGAGTGAGTGAGATGAGAAGGGGAAGAGCGAGGAAGAGGAGAAAAGGGTGAGACAAGACAAAGGAAGGTGTTTGGCAGGGGGAAACGGGGGAAGGAGGAGGTGGGAGAGGGATGGGATGGCAAGAGCATTGCTACCGGTTGAAGTCCAAGTCAACACCCTTCACATTGGCTCACCCTTCCATTCCAATCTTTGGTTGACGCTTGTCAATTCACACCCCTGTTTGACGTTTTTGTCTTGTCGTCCCTTCTACTACCAGAGATAGTATTCTTCACATAATTCAGGGGGCATTTTTGCACTTGCCTTCGACCTCAGCTGCTGCCATGAAACTTCCCTCCCAGTCTCCTAAAGGTGAGATTTCATCCAAACACCACCACACCTCATCCTCTCTGCACACGCCTCCTCAGTCTCACTCACACCTTCCAGAACCTTCTATATCTCTTTGCCCATCAGTTTGCCCCCCTCGATCTTCTAGAGCCCCACGTCCTCCCTCCCCACGCCCACATCTTTCCCATCCTCACTCTCAACCTCCTCGTCTGTCAGGCTCCTCTCAGTGCATTTGAACCCACATA